ATTGAAATTTTGCCAAGAATTTGATTAAAATTTTTAAAAATAATTGAATTTTGGAGGATAATTTTATTACCTATTTATTAAGATAATTGAAATTTTGACGATAATTTTTTTAATTTTTGTACGTAATTGAATTTTTGCGAAGAATTTTATTACTTTTGAAAATAATTAAATTTCTGCAATCATTTGTAATTTCTCTGAAATTCTCCAAATTATATCGTATAATTTAAGAACTTTCCATCTTTTTTCAATCAAAGTACAGTCTTTATGGACTTTTTTTAAAAAAAACTGACTTTTACGGACTTCAAGCAAATTTACAAACTAACTATTTTATGAACTTCACAATTTTTTACCTGAATTTTCATTTTCGTAATATACATTATTACCATAAACATTTTCATTCTCTTCCACTGGATTTTCGGACTCATTTTCGGCACTTGAATTAAATGAATTTGTTGCTTCTAATTCCTGTGAAGATTCGGTTTCTCTTTGTGAAGATTTTTCAGATTCTTCTTCATTGTCAGCATCATTTCCATCATCTAAAATTTTGTATTATTAATATTTGAACATTTTGATAAATATCCCTGGGTAGATTAAAAAACAATAATTATAAAATAATAATTTTTAAATAAATTAAAAAATAGTTTTTATTTAATAGTTAAAAATTTTCTTCTCTAACATAATATTAGTAAAAATAGTAGTAGATACAAATAAAAATAGTAAAAATATTTAAATTCATACTTTAAGGTTATGTTCACGTGACATATTGCATGCAAAAATGTTCTTGACATAAAAAACATGTACTATAAAGAACTTGTGTTTATTACAATCAAGAATGATACTTATTCATAATTTCATTTGATTATCTTAATTTATTGTTAATTAATATAAGTAATTTCCATTATAAAAAATGTATTTATATTTTCAGTTTTGATAGTGGGTTAACTTTTATATTCAGGATGTAAATAATAAATATTATACTTACTCTGCATCAAATCATGTACATTTCTAATCTTGTTCAATGCACGGTGAATTTTAACACGGCGAGTGCTTTTTTCTTTTGGCATTTTCTATTCAATTAAAATTAATTTTTAACAATAATCATAAATTAATAATAATTTATGTTTGTCAACTGTCAACTCACAAGGTTAGATACACTTTGTGTAGATATTTATATAGTGCTTCTACTTTACCACCGCCAGTTCTGGGCCCAGTCCGGGCCAAAAGATTTACCAATCTGGGGCCAGATAGGGATACCCCGATCGGGGCCAAACAGGTAACATGGAAAAAGTATGGAAATTTCTACACGGGTACTTTTGAAAATAATTGGATTTCTGCAATCATTTGTAATTTCTCTAAAATTCTCTAAATTATATCGTTCAATTTACTATCTTTTTGTCTTTTCTCAATCAAATTACGTACTTTACGTACTTTACGCCTTGATTATAAAACAAATAAAATTACTCTCTAAATTTGAAATAGTTAAAAAAAACTAATAATTAGTTATAGCTAATTCAGTAATTCAGATTTAGAGAGTATTTACATCTTCTAAAATAAAATAAAATAATAAATCAAAAATATATTAATATCTATAAATAAAAATTTTCTTATCTTACTCAAATTGTTCATTTCTGGAAAGTAATAAGCATCTAAATCTAAAGGTGATAAAATCCATCTATAAAATACAATATTTATGTAAATAATATAAAAATTCGAATCTAATAACTTAATAACAAGCTTTTATAACATTAACTGAGTTGTCTTACTGATTTTTACCCAAAGGTTCTCTATAACTTTTTGTTGATTTGTTTGTGAAAAACTTTAAATAATTAATTGCATTTTCAAAATAATCTGGACCAATCTGAAGCTGTGTATCATTAAATTTTGTTAATTAGTATTTGGTAGTTAGTAGTACTAACATCAGTTGATATATCTGCTACTTAAATAGTTTAATAAAAGTAGAAAATTAATTATGAAAACTATTCTTCAAAAATAACTGACGAACTTCTTACCCCATCATAGTGTTTGCTGAAATTACTCGACAAATACGATTCTGGATAGCCAATTAAAACCTTCATTAAATTGAGTTTATTTCTTGACAATATTTTGGTCTCATTGTTCATCCAAGTGGACCTCGAAATATCTGTACCAATTTCTTCACGGATTTTTTTAGCCACACTTTTTGCCTGTACAAATAAATAATTAATATTTCTTCTACTATTTACGACACTAATATCCATGAATTATTTATCATTTAATTTCATTTTTATTAGATTAAAAAAAATTATTCAACTCTACACTTACTTTTTGTTTTGTCATATCAGGAAATTGTCTTTTAATGAATTCGGCAGATAATCCATCAGTAAAAAGCATATTATTAAAACAATGTTCCGATCTGCTTCATAAGCAGCATGTAAGTCTTATAATTCCTCTTTTCGTGCCTTTCTGCACTCCTTAGTCTCAAAAGTGCTACGCTTATTCTACTAATCTACGGTAACCTGGAGCGCGCTTCGTTCATCGCTAGTACAGCGAAGACGTCGAATTTTGCTCTAAAAACTTTTCCAACTTATTTTTGAATACCTTAACTAACAATTTATAAAAAAAAAAAAATTAATTTTTTCAGACGTCTAATGTGGTTTCACCCCTAAGGCTTGGTTCATAGACATGAAGCCATACATCTTAAAGAGTTCATAAAACTTAAATAATTTAACAATTATTTAATAATTTACACCTAACCCAATGCCAATTTACTCATGGCTTGCTGAAGATACTGTGAAAAATAAAAAGTAGTATTTTAAAAATAAGTTCCGAATAATAAGATTCGCAAGTTCTGATTTGGTTAATATATAGCAAATTTCCATATTTTTAAACCAAAAAAAAAAAATTTCCTCCTGCAAACTTTATCATCGACATAAAACAATCAGTAACCACATTCCTAACAATATTAGGTAAAAAAGTAAAAATTTGCAAAAAACTTATAAAAAAAAAAAAAAAAAAAAATATACGTAATGTAGGCTCAGCTGAATCGGATAATTAGAAAAAAAGTTATAGCAATTTAAAGATGGGTATACGTTAAGTGCATTTTTGCATTTCAAAAATGGCCTGGTCTAGGACCCATTTCTGGCGATTTTGAGGGTTGTGACGTCATTTTTCGAAATTTTTTTTTTCTTATCTAAATGATATTTTTTTAAATCCCTTGAACTGGAGCATCTCTGGGACTCACCAGAAGTGAATTTAAAATAAAAAAAAAAATTTTGAAAATTTTTTTTCAAAGTTGAAAAAAATTGAGAAAAAATTTTTTTTTCATGTTGCCGACAAAAATTTGTCTTTCTAAACAAATCAGAAGTGTATAGGAAAAAAATGAGCCGAATGGGATAATTAGGGACAAAGTTAGAGCAAAAATTCCAAAAAATTTATTAAAAAGAAAAAATATGTGTGCAAATTTAGCATGAAAAAAAATGCAAAAAATTTTTTCTTCATGACGCCCTTATAGGTCTAAGTTTATATACTCTTCTGGAGTGTAAATCCAAAAAAATTGTCAGAATTGAATAATTAGGAAGAAAGTTAGAGCAATTTAAATTTTGACTATTGAAAAAACACCGATTTTTAAAAAGGTTTTTTGCACAAAAAAGGAATAAAAATTTGTTTTACAGAATTCGCACAAAGTGGGTTCATTGCAGAAAGTCCTCACAAGCCTGGCGAACTAAGTCTGAGTCAAAACGGATAATTAGGGACAAAGTTAGAGCATTTTAAAGTTAGGGAAAACCCCTCAAAAACCTAAAATTTTTCAGCCTATTTTTGTCACGTTTTACAAAAAAAAAGTAAAAAAAATATTTTTTCTTTACCCCAGGGGGTGAGTCAAACCGGCCAGTTTGCAAATTTTTTTTAAAGTTAACACATCAACTAAACAATAAAAGATGAAGTATAGGTGTCTCTGGGAAAAAGTTGCGCAATTAAATGATCTTTCAAACAAGCCATCAGAAAATGAAATCGGTTGATTCGTTTTGTCATAAGAGTAAAAAAAAACCGTTAGTATGGCCGGTTTGCCCCACTCTCACCTATAAAATAATCTAATAGAAAATAATTTTGTATCAATAAATGATAAAATTTAAAAAAAAGTTATTAATTACAATTATTAAAATATCAAAAAAATTAAAGAAATTCTTTGAAAGAAATAAATTATTTGCAATGTTTTAATATAATTTATTGAATGAAATTAATTATTTTAAGGTTTTTATTGACGTTTTGTCCCATATAATAAATTTAATATAGGTACCTATAGTTTATTATTGGCATTTTTTTGAGATAAGAAAAATTATTTTCCTATCAATTATTTTTCTTTATCAGTTATTTTAATAAATTGTAAAAAATATTCTCAGAAGAATTTATTTATTTTGTTAAAATTTTAATAAAATTTAGTAGTCAAATGTTTATTTACAATTGTTAACAATCATGAATATTTTTAAAATATGAAATAAATTTTTCATAAAATTCAATTGCTTTCAAAATTTTCAAATAAAATTATTAAAAAAAAATTCATTACTTTTAAAAAATTCAAAAAAAAATTTCAAAACAATGAAATTATTTTCATTAGTTTTGATAAAATTCATCGAAAGAACTGAAATATTTTTATAAAATAATTGAATTTCTAATAAGATAATTAATATGATGAATTGATTTGTTTAGAATAATTAAATTATTTTTAATACAATTTTAAGAAAATCTCTCGAATGAATTCAATTACTTATAAGCAAACAAAGTTGTTAATCATTTGTTTTGCTAAATTTTGTTGTAAAAAATTATTGCCATAAATCAACAAAAAAGTTTGTCAAACAAACTATTTGTAAAACCAACAAATTGGTTGTCTTTCAAACTGCGAACAGTTTATCGGAATACGACGCGATTATATTTATAATTAAGATTTTAATTAATCAAAATTAATTAAATTACTAATTAATTTATATATATTTAGACGAGGAAATAAAAATAGATCGTTTGATATTTTTTTCTTTGGTGTAAAATGCAATATTTATATTATTTATATATGTATAATAATAATAATAATTTAAAATTGTAATGTACATGAAAAATTGTGAAATTATGCGTGATTTGGACTAAAATAATTGTTGCTCATCATATACAATTTATCAATGGGATTATTGATAGCCGCATGTAAACTTTGGGACAACGAAGGCGATTCTTGTGTTGTTCCTGTGTGAAGGGAGTGGGAGCTTCCCTGATGACTGCTTTCGGGGCCACCGGTTTCGTTTTCTGCAATTTCAAAGCCAGCCTCTGTTCCATCGAGGGACAAATCAGTGCTGCAGAAACTCTCGCCCGAATGCACCGGGTAGTTATCTGCGAAACAAAAGAATCACATAAACACCAAGAAAATACTCGAATTTTTCTTTTTTAATTCACTCTGTATTCACATATGCGATATTTTTATATCATTTTGACTAGAAAATTTATAAAAAAATGTGTTTGCATAAAATAAATAATTACTATATTAATTTTAATATGAAACAAAATATCTCAAAAATTAATTTCGAACTTTCTTTTTATTCCATTATTGTATTTTCACCGTTTTTCTAAGCATAACAAATTGAGACAAAAAAACGCATCAAAATTGTTGCATCGCAACAATTTTTTGTCTCAATTTGATATCCTTAGAAAAACTGAGTTTATATTCTCTCTAAATTTGAATCAGTTATAAAAATCATAGTTTAACTCTGGCAATGATTTTTTGTTTCTGCAATCAGTAAATAATATCTGATTCTTAGTGAAAAAATGACTAATTATCAGAAAAATTAATTAAATTTGACTAATTGAACCACTTTAAAAAATGTACTGAAATAACAATTGTAAAATTATAATTATAAAATTATAAAACTGACAGTCAGTTATTTTTAACTAAATAATCAGTAGAAATCAGTGACTGACTTTTTACTTCCAAATCAGTTATTTCTAACTAAATCAATTTAGAGAGTTCCATTCCTTTTTTTTTACTCAAAGTCATGTTGCAATTAATTGGTTCACAAATAAATTTTAATTAGCGACGCACTTCAAATCACAGTACAAATTTCAATTGTTTTTTCCGTTTCCTTTTTTAGATAAAGTGATGAAACTAAAATTCAATTGTTACGTAATTGTTAAACCATTTTAACGAGATTTTTATTTAATAAAGTTCAGAAAATTTAAATCATTATTGAAGTCAATTCTGAATTATTCATTTTTACAATTCATTGTCAAAATTGAAGTTTGTACTAAATTATAAAATAGAATTTTAGAAAAAAAATACAAATAAAAATAGATAAAAAAAATAAAAATAGAATAAAAAAGTAGAGAAACCAGTAAGAAAAAAATTAGACGAAATAATTGCAAAAAAATAAAAATATAAAACAATCTCAGAAAATTATAATAATTTCTTTTTGTAAATAAAATCTTGAGATAAAGTAAATAATAAATTTTCTATTTAATTATAAAAAATCATTACCGTCGGGCGAGTAGGGATTGTTTGGATTAAGAGGCTGAGTGGCAGATGAGAAGTTGGATGACTCTCCATCACGCATGTTCAAAGCACTCATATAGTGACCTTAAAAAAATATAAAACGTTATTTACACATTGCAATAAATTCAATAATAATAAAAAATTAATAAATGTTTATTAACATAATAATCAGCAAATTATGTTTGCAAAATTTTTCACTTCCCTCGTAAAATAAAAATTAATAATTTATTAACACAATTAATAAATTTCTATTAATACTTAATATATTATCACAATCACAATTCTAACTTTTTCTAAAAAACAATTATTTCAAAACATTTTTTCTGTTTTTAAAATTTTTGCCACATTTTTCTTCAGAAGCTCGATAAAAATAAAAACAAACATAAAAATTAATATTATACAGTCAAACAAAAGTTATCTTTGAATTAAACATAATAATTTTGATTCAATACATAATTTTACAGGGTTGCTATGCTTTTGCTCATTTGAAATTCTCCAACTTTTCCAGGTTTTCCAGATTAAAAAACGCAATTTTTCCAGATTTTTAAAACTACACTTATTTTTTACCGAATTAAATCTATTACATTTATTTAAGAATTTCTGTAATTTGTAAAATTAATCGAAAACATAAATTATTATTTTTCCATAGGAATTAAAATTTTCAAAAATTTCACATTCAAACCTTTTTATTTATTTATTTATTTATTTATTTATTCATTTACCATTTGAAACTTAAAAGAATATTCTTCAATTAAATTTAAATATAAATTAGAAAATAAAAACTTGAAATAATTTTAAAAGAAATCCATTAAAACTTTTTCAAAAAAAGTACATTCTACACAATTGTTAGTTAAAAGTATGAAAAATTCAGATTTTTAAAAATTTTAATTTGAAAATTCTACAAAAATTCAATTATTTAAGTACAAAAATAAATATTTTATTGAATAATTAAATGTTTCTTAAAATTTATTCTCATAAAGAATTTTGTAACCAAATTTTTAAACAAATTCAATTCTTTTGACGAAATCAAATAAAATTTTTAATAATAATTAGGTACATTTTTTAAAGAAATTTGATTAAAATTGTATTAAAAAGTAATTGAAATTCTGCGATGAGTTTTATTTATGAAAATAATTGATTTCTTAAAAAGAATTTAATTATTTATGAAGATAATTGAATTTTTGCCTAAAATTTAATTAAAATTTTCGAAAATAATTGAATTCTTTAGAAGAATTTCAATAAAATTATAAAGAATTGCATTTTTTGAGAAATTTATATCAATTATTATTTAAAATTTTAACTGAAAGTCTTTTTTAAATCAATTTTTATTAGAGAATTTAACGAGAATTCAATTATTTAAATACAAAAATTAATATTTATTGAATTTCTATTATATTTATAAGAATAATTAAATGTTTGCGTAAAATTTGTTAAAAATAATTATTTAAAAAAAATTTTAACAATTTTTATTCATAATAATTTATTAAATTCGATTAAAATTGTATGAAAAATAATTGAAATTTCTGCAAAAAACTTTATTACTTTTAAAGAAAATTGAAATTTAGACGAGAATTTTTTTTAATTTTTGTACATAATTGAACTTTTGCGAAGAATTATATTATTTTTTAAAATCATTGAATTTCTGCTATCATTTGTAACTTTTCTAAAAAAAATTTAATTATTTTAGTGTTTTTAACTGAAATTTATATTTAAATTTATTTTTTATTCATAATAATTTATTGCATTCGATTAAAGTTGTATTAAAAATAAGTGAAATTTCTGTAAAGAGTTTTATTAAAATTTTTGAAAATAATTTAATTTCGGAGAAGATTTTATTATTTTTAAAGATAATTGAAATTTAGACGAGAATTTTTTTAAATTTTTGAACATAATTGAACTTTTGTGAAGAATTTTATTATTTTTGAAAATAATTAAATTTCTGTTATATCATTTATAACTTTTCTAAAAAAAAATTCAATTTTTTTAGTGTTTTGAACTAAAATTCATATTTAAACTTATTTTTTATTCATTTATTTTTATTCATAATAATATATTGAATTCGATTAAAATTGTATGAAAAATAAGTGAAATTTCTGCAAAGAGTTTTATTAAAATTTTTGAAAATAATTTAATTTTTGATTATAATTGAACTTTTGCGAAGAATTTTATTAGTTTCGAACATAATTGAACTTTTGCGAAGAATTTTTGGAAATAATCAAATTTCTGCTAACTTTTCTAAAAAAAATTTAATTATTTTAGTGTTTTTAACTAAAATTCATATTTAAATTTATTTTTTATTCAAAATTTTCTTATGAATTCTAAAAATTAATTAGATTTCTAGAATAATCACAATAATTTTAGAAAACAACAATTTTCCAGGATTCCGATCAAAATTCCCTGACTTTTCCAGGCTTTTTCATTCCCTCACATTTACAGGTTTTCCAAGTTTCTAGGTTGTGTGGCAACTCTGGTTTAATTCAATAAAAATTGTGATCAATTCAATTATAAAATATATTTAATTCAAACATATATTTTTAGTTGGCTACTTATTTTTGAATTATAAAAAAATTTTTCTCAGCGTATGTGGAAAAAAGTCGAAAAAGTCGCCTTTTTTCGAAAATAGCAAAAAAAAAAAGTAAAAACAAAGTCGTTATCCGAGGCCTATAATCAAATCCGTTAAATAAATAAATTAATCAATGTTTCATTTAATTTTCATTACCCACTATTTTCAACGCTGAAAGAATATTTATTCGTCTACGAAAAGAAAAAAAAAAGAGCAAAATATGTGTAGGAAAAAAGTCAATTAACAAAAGTATAATTAAAAAAATAAAATTAACGACTCTATACATGTATACATAAAAGCGAAAGTAATTTATGTGAGAAAAGTTAAATTTCTTAAACATTCCCAAAGGTGACTAATAGCCATTTATTTGATCGCAGGCGGGCGAGTTGGATTATTACCGTTTTCGACTCTGTACTTCTATTTAGCGCGTTGTGTACTAAGCCAGCAGGCTAGAGGAAACGCAGGGGGAAAAACCAATAACGGGCTTTGAGTGTAAATAAAATATCTATCCGGACACTGCTTGGGGATATAGTTGGCTAGAAATCCCAGCATCCCTCATTCCCTATATAATGTGAATGCCCTCCCGAGGATCCTCAAACGCAGACTCAAATAGTGCAAAAGGGGAAAAATTGCGACATTTTTCTCAATTTAAAAAAAAAGGAACATCTAAATAACCCGCACAATTCTTTCAGGTCTCCTCTTTTCATTTCTTTTCCCTTTTTATTAAAATTTATTTTAACATTTCTATTTAAACTATTATTTAAACTATTTTAGATAACAACTTTTAAAAAATTTCCAAATATAAATGAGTTATGAATTTTGAAAAGGGCTCAACTCTAAAAATCGTAAGAGTCATTTTCACTGTCATTTGTTATGTAAAAATGACACTTATGGTTTTTAGAGTTGAGCCCTTTTCTAAATTCACGGTTCAAATATATCAAACATTTTTTAAAAATTCCATACCATTTAAAAAGAAAAAAAAGATAAATTATAGAATGTAGAAAAATGAAAAAATTTCAACTCACTGTGATCACTGTGTGGACTTTCGGTTTTTCTCTCCTCCTTTGGCTCCTTGTCGGAGCCAGATTCGGTTTTTGCTTTCCTTTGAAGTTTCTTCATTTTTGCACGTTGATTTTGAAACCAGACTTGAACAACTCGTACACTGAGTCCAGTATCTTTCGCGAGAGCTTCTCTAACTTTCCGGCACGGCTTGGGAGAAACTTCGAAGGATGCTTTGAACTGGCGTCTCTGCATCGACGTCAATATTGTTCTCGGTCTCTTAGGCCCTCGCCTTCCATCGCGTGGTCTCACTTCATCCAATCCCTCGTCGTCTGTATTAGGAAAATTTCTATTTTTCTACATTTTCATATTTTCAATCATTTATCATTATTTATTATTATTATTATTATTATTATTATTATCATTATTTATTATTATTATTTTATTATTATCATAAATATTATCATTATTAGATATTATCATCACATGTTTATTATTACACCGTTAATACTTAAAAGCATCAAATAGCAACGAATTGATACCAAAAATGTGAAACAAATCAAAAATTGATCCTAATTTTTGTCATGAATTTGATACTTTCAAGAAAAATGTGTAAAATCATGATGACAAACTTTGCACTCGATAAACAATTTTAAAAAAGTAGCTTTCAAACTAAAAAAAGTAGTAAAAAAGTATCGAAAAATTAAACTTGACGACCAAAAATACTCGTTTTTGACACTTCACAAAACTGATAAAAATTACATTCCATATTTTCCTGACGTTTTCCTAATTTTCATCAAGAATATTAACTTCTTTTTTATCCTGATAATAAATTGATTTTCTGCAACGAATTTTATTATTCTTTAAAGAATTTAAATGTTTATAAAAATAATTTAATTCTTGCGAAAAATTTTAGAAAAATTTTTAAATAATTGATTTTTGACGACTAATTTTATGCAAATTCTAATTTAAATAATTGAATTCATGAGACATTTTTATTATTCATGAAAAAAATTGAATTCTTACGAAAATTTTACAAAAATTTTTTAAATAATTGAATTCTGTTAGAAAATTTTATAAAAATAGTATTAAATTTTTTTGAAAATAATTGAATTTCTAAAAAGCATTTTATTATTTATGAACATAATTGAATTTTTGCAAAATTAGAATTTTTCAAAATAATTGAATTTCCAAGAAGAAATTTATTACTTTTAGAAATAATTGAATTCTTGTGATGAATATTGTTATTTATGAAAGTAATTGAATTTTGCAAAGAATTTTATTAAAATGCCTCAAAATAATTGAATTTTCGAGAATAATTTTGTTATTTATCTTTAATAATTTAAATTCTTTCGAAGAATTATTTATGTAAATAATTGAATTCTTGGGAAGAATTTTATTAAAATCTAAAAGAATAATTGAATTATTTCAAAAAAATTTAATTAAAATTGTATTTAAAATAATTGATTACTTTCGAACAATTTTATTAATTTTGCAAAGAATTTTATTAAAGTGCCTCAAAATAATTGAATTTTCGGGAAATAATTTTGTTACTTATCGACATAATTGAATTCTTTCAAAGAATTATTTATGTGAATAATTGAATTCTTGGGAAGTATATTTTATTAAAATCTAGAAGAATGATTGAATAATTTCAAAAAAAAATTTTACTAAAATTTAATTTAAAGTAATTGATTTATTTCGAACAATTTTATTAAAATATTTGAAAATAATTGAATTCCTGTGAAAAATTCTAATATTTTTTTAAATAATTGAATTCTTTTAAAGAATTATTTATGTAAATAATTGAATTCTTGGAAAGAATTTTATTAAAATCTAAAAGAATGATTGAATTATTTCAAAAAAAATTTTACTAAAATTGTATTTAAAATAATTGATTTCTTTCGAACAGTTTTATTAAAATATTTGGAAATAATTGAATTCTGTGAAAAATTCTAATATTTTTGTAAAGAATTAAATTCTCCCAAAGAATATGAAAACAAACATTTTTTTAAATAATTGATTTCTTCGAAGAAATGAAATTCAATTTTTAAGAATTTTTTTAAACATTTTTTCCGCAATTCCTGTAAAATTGTATTAAAAATAATTGAAATCCTGCTATGAATTTTATTATTTATGAAAATAATTGAATAATTACTAAGAATTTTATTAAAATTTTAAAAAATAATTGAATTCCTGAGAAGAATTTTATTATTTATGAAAATAATTGAATTATTGCGAAAAATGTTAATAAAATGTTTTTAAAAATTATAAACATTGTATTAAATAATTAATTATTTCAAAATATTATAAATATTATGAAAATTTTATTTTAAATAATTGAATTCTTGTGGAAAACTATATTTGTGAAAATAATTGAATTTTTCGATTAATTAATTTAAAATAGTATTAAAAATAATTGAAATTCTGCGATGAGTTTTATTATTTATGAAAATAATTGAATTCTTGCTTAGAATTTTATCAACAATTTTTTTAAAAAATTGAAAAAAAAATTGAAAAATGAAAAATGTTATTATTAGTAAAAAACTAAAAGTAATTGAATTTCATTCAATTGTATTGTATGAAAATTTTGCTAAGTAATTAATTTTTTCGAAATTTTTTTTTGAAAATGCTATTCTATAAATTAATTGAATTCCTGTGGAAATTTTATTATTTATAAAAATAATTTTAGATGAGTTTTATCAATTCTTTTTTTAATTATTTGAATTCTTTTGCGAAATTTTATGAAAATACTAGATATTGAAAATGAATTTCGAATATTTTTTTGAAATAGTTGAATTGTTTTGAAGAATTTGTTTATAATTTTTGAGAATAGTTTTTTGATTTCTATTATTAGTATTACTAAATAGTATATATAGATTTTAGTAGATAAATGCGAAGCCTGTGATGATGACGATGTTTATTATTACTAAACTATGAAAGAAATTTTTATTTTTAAAATAAATTCTTTTTATTCACACGGAAAAGAATGTCTCAAACCGTATACATCATAAAATGATTGAATCTACATAATTTTAAGCTTGAAAGTATATTTTGGCACTAAAATTTTCAAATTTTTAGTCAATTTAAAAATTCTAAATTATACTCTCATGATCTCATGAAAATTTTACAAAAATTCAATCAGAAATGATTTTATTTAGATATTATTATTTTGAAAAGACCTTGTTCGAATTCAGAGTTACTCACGGAACAAGAGAAGCATCATTTTTCGTATCCGATGACTTTCATAAGAAGGCTGATGTCTGGCTTGCTCTCGAAATGATGTCATCGGTCATCAAGGCCCGTCAATTAACGATCTGAGACAAAAGACAGGTCACCGTATCATCATTTATACTTGGGGCCATTTATAAGAAAACATTTCAAAAAAAAAAAAAAAAATTGTAAACTTTTCTATTTCTTTTTTTCTTTCTACTAATTATAATAAATATTTGTATATAAGCGTGCTTATTACAATATTATTTTAATTGTCAAGAAACCTTCATTCAAAAAAGTTATTTATTTATTTATTTACATTCATTTATTTATGCACGAAAAGAGTTAGCTACTTTAGCAAATTTTTAGCCACCTTAACTAACTCAATTGTTATTTATGTGAACAGCAATTATTATTAGCTAATTACTAATAGCCAATAATTACATTTCACAGCTAATTTTTTAGATGTGAAAGCTAATTATCAGCCATAGCTAAAAATAAGCCAAAGTCACTTTTCTCCGTGCACAAATACTTTTTGCTTAGTGAATTTTTTACGTACCAAGAAAAAAAAGAAATGAAGAAAAAATGTTTATAATGATAAACTTGACTTTTTTATTTATGCAAAGTATTATAATAATGTAGTCATCAAACTAAAAGGGCCACCCTTAATGGGTATGAATAAGATGACCTGTCTTTAACGCCCCTCCCCGGTAATTCACGCACCTTGATTATTTTTTGTCTCTATTAAAATTTTCCAACATTTAAATGAACGAAATTTATTTACTTACTTTTAAAATTCAGATTCGATATTATTACATTGCTTTTACTCTATTAAAAAATAATTTACAAAATTCTAATATATTTAATTTGATAAAAATTTAATTTTCATTTTTTAGGCAGTAATTTTTGAAAGCATTTTAATATTTCGTTCATTTAACCGTTCAAAATTTTTGCAAACTTATTTTTCTTTCATTCTTTTCTATTTTACCAACAAACATTAAGAAACCAATTTTTAATTCTCTTCGCTTTTCTCCTTTATTCTCTAATTTCAATCAGAACAAGTCAGCAATTGTATTTTTTTTTCTTTCAGACAGGCTAATAAAATTATCCACGCTTTTAATTTTATGAAACATAATATAAGTCGAGATAATTATTCAAACTATTTATAATTTTCATAACTCTTCAAATGTTTCATTTTTTAATTCTACACATTCTTTAAAGTAAAACATTTGTTGTATAAACATCTGTTTTGCAGACATTTTTTTCTTATGAATACAAAATATCTTTGAGAGCTGATAAAAATTGTTGTTATTATACCAATAATATTGATATCAACTATCTGATTTGGTAAAATTTTGTTAATAACACAAGTCGACAAAATTTTTCCAAATCTCAAAATCAAAAAGCGGACAATACTTTTTCGAAAGTCTTTATTTGGTCCCTTGAAATTTTTTAAAACTGCTAAATTTATAAATATTTGAAAACTACATTTTCTTTGTCAACCATTTTACGTATATTTGAAGTCAGAATTTTAAAATCCAAAATGGCTGCCGAATTTTTAGAATAACTCATAACGATATCAGATTTTCAAAATTTAAAATAGCAGATCGTTTTGAAAATTGAGTAGAATTCATTGAAACTCAATGAAAAATATTTCAAATTATTGAGATCAGATTCTAATTTATCACAAACATTCGAAAAAGTATTGTCTGGCCCTTAATTTTGAGATTCGTCAAAATTTTGTCGGCCTGTGTTATTAAAAATAAGGCTGAAGTCCGCAAAGTTTTAAAAAACGAAAAAATAATTCCACGATTTATATTTCATTATGCCTTCAAATTTGGGTTTTTTCAAAAAGAAAATTTAAAAAATTAGTATTTTCAGTAACAGTTTTCTTAAAAATTTACAGAAAGGAAAATAAGAGATGAATTTAGAAATTACTTTTCGATTTTCAAAACTTCTATTTACGGACTTGAACCCCATTAATATCGAAACATACCTTGTGGACTGTTGATGTACATTTCATGCTCAAAGTCTCTTCTGCAAACAGGTTGATTTTGTCGAAGAATAAAATGTGCTCCCGTGGGCAATGGTTGGCCACACATGTAACATCCAAAGCAATTGAGATGAAAAACTAAATCCGCCACCCTCATAACAAGGTCCTTGCCACCAATAATAATGCTACACCTCGCGCACTTGACACCAAATATTTGTTCGTAATCGGCACGACAGTAGAGTTTTAAATTTCGAATAAAGCAGGATTTCGTTAAAATTGTACCGCAAGCGGAACAAGAAAGGCAGTCTTCGTGATAACTTCTGTCAACACTCATCTCATCTCGTACACTCATTAAAAACCGATCGACGATCCCAAGACCACAGCCTGCACATGTCGGCTCCGTTGTTCCCACTTCCGTTTTCACCGATACCGTTGTTCCTGCAAAAATTTGCAAATTCTTTTTTATTTTCTTTTACTTTCTTATGATTTCTTTTAGTAGATCACATAGTTTTTCCAAAAATATCAAATTGAGACAAAAAACGAACATTTTTTACCTTAATTTGAACCACAGTTTTTCTAAGGATATCAAATTGAGACAAAAAACTTACGTTTTTTGTCTCAATTTGATATCCTTAGAAAAACTGTGGTCTACTGAAAAATTGGGAATATTCCATTGGAGTATTGTGAAATCTTAATTTAATTTCATCAGACAAATTCATTATTATTGAGCAAAACTATTTTCTGGGTGTACTACACTGTAAAAAGAAAGTTACTAAATCGTAATTTGGTTCTATTTTAATAACGAAATCAGCTCTAATTTAGAACCTTTTTTTATAGTGTATAATCAGTACGCAATAGTATTGAGAATATCAAAAGAAAAATACAAAATTAGGATTTTCTGCGTCAAATTCATTTAATACAATAAATAAAAGTCCTGAATAAAGGAACAAATAAAACAACCAAGTGTTTCGTTTTTATCAAAGCAAATGTACTTTTTATGATATAATTGTCAAAATTGAGGAAAAAAATCTTTTTCAAATTAAATATTCATTGCCATTTTTGAATAGCTGATAAACATTTAAAAATTAAAATTCACTTATAGAAAAGAGTTTGATTTTGACCACAAAACATTTGTTTGGTACTTCCACAAACTAAAATTGTTATGTTGTGTTTCTAAAATTTTGATAATTTCAAGCAAACTTTACGTTTAGCATAAAAATTGAACCAAAAATCTCCTTTTTTAATTGATTTTCTGTAATCGATTTTCAATTGATGTGACAACTGGAGGTTGGTTGGGATAATCATAATTTAGTGGTGTCAACCAAAATTTGGTTGAAAATATCGAAATTTGTGTGGCACAACAAAACAATTTTGGTTATTTAAATACCTACCAATGATTTTTTTTTTGTCAAAACGAAACAATCTTTTCTCAGTCTTGAAACATTCTAAATAACCGATCACCTAATATGGCGGACAAATTAAAAAATTATTTAACTTTTATAAAAAGAAATTGCAATTTTAATCCGTATCCAATGTTAATTTTTAATTGTAAAAATTGGCACAATTTTTGCTTATTAAACAGTTTTTAATTAAAAAATTACTTTCTTATTTAAAAATATAAAAATATGTCTAAAGTTTGGCTAATTTTTAATTTGACTGTCTTATTTCCCCATAAATGTTATCCTAAAGTTGCTTTTCAATTTTCAAAAAATTAAAATTCAAAATCTTGATCAACGACTCTAAAAATTCTTCTTCATATCAAGTGCCCTCAAGAACCATTTTTTTTAAACTTAATAACTTTCAAATCATCAGTTATTTAAAGTTTAGTTACATTTTGAACCTTAAATTGTTACAATTAACTTGAACCACGAATTTAATGTTCCTAAAAATTCCAAATTTGAACCCAAAAGTTTCCTTTCATTGTAAAAACGCTGATCTTAACTTAATATAGTTTTGGCATCAATTTGATCCAATTTAGTATTAATTTGATACTTTCAAAAAACTGTAAAAAGAAAATTAAAAGATAAATCCAAAAAGGAGATAAAATTTCTGCAAATTCATATTCCTAAAGTTTTTAACGTTCAAATTGAACGAAATTATTTATTTCTTCTACAAATTCAAATTTTATTGCAATATCTTTCCCTAAAATATTTAAAAAATTAATTATAAAAATTCTAACTGTCTAATTTTGTATATCTGCTTTTAATAATGTCAATAGTTTTTTTAAAATATTATATTTTTTTAAATATTAGCAAAAAATTTCATGGATCATTCAAATTTTGTCAAATCAAATTTTGTTCGTTTCTTACTCTCTAGATTTTAATTATTAAAAATGTTTACTAATTTGCATTAGAGCCTGACTTTTTGCTTTTGAATGAGTAAATTTTACTGTTAAGTTAGTTCTTAGTAGAAATTGTTAATATTTAATAGTCAAATTTACTAATTTACTAAATGCTTCTGAATTATTAAATTTTACTATTAAATATAGTATAATTTATATTAATGTATTAGCAAAGTTTACTATTCAAAAACAAAAAATCAATCACTAATTCAAATTAATAAACATTTTTACTAATTCAAATTTAGAGAGTAAATGTCAAATTAGTGCCAAATTTTTGTTAGGATGACGCGTTCATAAATCAAATACTTGCCATATTGATAATTAGTAAACAAAAAGTCCGCCATAACTGATTCCTAAAATACCCCCCCCCCCCCACCCTTCTTCCCCGAAAAAAATAATAAATATTTTAACACTAAAAACGAACACAGGATTACAATATAAATTTACCATTTCGAATTTTGCAGAAAAATCAATTTTAAAAATTCATTTAAATTTATAATATATTTATAAAAACCTCAAAAATCTCAAGTTTAGGACGCTGTGAGTTTCATTTTATATTTTAAACGAGACAATATAATCTTCAACTATGAACAATTTTGGAAATTCATAAAAAAAAATCACTCAGAAATCAACTAATATCAAATTCAGAAAATCACCTTCGACATTATTGTTGGCAACTTGTCGAAATTGAAGTGGAGGCCCCGGGGGAATGTTCTGATTGGAATCGCCTTGATTCCAAGCACTTTGCCCTCGCAAATGCTCCAACATCTTGCCAATCCTTTGACAATACTCTTCAAATATAGAAACCTCCACTTTATCGCAATAAATTTTACAAAAATCCTAATAATTTTTTCGATTACAAAAAAAAACGAACAAACAAAAAACAATCAACAACAACACTTTCCAACAAATTTCACTTTATCACAATAAATTCCAGTTGAACACTGAACGAACATCCTCTCGCTGTCTCAATTGAAGAATTCTTCCGCCATTTTTTTTCCCCGCACCAGGAAAAATCAAAATTCTACAAAAGTCAAAATCCTCGAAAAATCACAAAGCGAAAAAGATTTCTCTCTCAACTCTTATCAGTCAATTTGGAGAGAAATTTAAGTTAATTTTTTTTTTTGCTACTATTAATCAGATCTTTTGCAAATTAATATATATGTGTATACATGAAAGATTTTTTTTTTTTTGAATATATAAAGAGATCTGCTAAACGTCAAGCATGAACGTATACTGCTTTGATGAAATGACACTAAGCGTATGTTGCTATATCCACCCCATGGGGTAAAAGGGGGATGGGGTTGGTACTAAAACTCACCCCCCGGCAGGCTGTTGCCTTTGGTCGAGGGTGGCAGGGGGCGGTCTTTTCCGAAAAGCACCCCTTGTTGGTACAAAGGGTCACATCTGATTGGTTGTCCCAGAAACGCCCTGATCTTTCACTATGGCGGGGATGACCTCAGCGGTACTCAACCGCGATCCCGCCCCTGTAAAATCAATACTTCCCAAGAGACGAAAGACGAAAGAGTCTCGTCGCCGTGAGCACTTCAAAGGCGACACCACCTTCTCTCTCTCTCTCCTGTTGCCATAGTGATCCTTATTATCATAAAGATTTTTTAATCAATATTTTCATAATGATTTTTTCGTGTTTCACTCATTCAAAATTGAATATGGTAAGTATTTTTCTCTTTATTATGAAGAATTCAACCTCTTCTCTCGCGATGTCATTAAACCTCCTCCATCTCTATATATAGTTCTTGGTACATTAAACCTCGTGTTCTTGGAAATTATTAGCAATTTTTTTTTTACTTCTACTATCAAAAGTAGGAAATATTCTTGTTGAATATACTTAAAATTGTTACTAAAAGCCATTGCTAACTTGGATTGTTTATTATTTATAAAAGTTAGTTTCACTGTTAACTCGAAAGTATCAAATTGTAATGAATTTGATACCAAAAATGTGGATCAAATCAAAAATTGATTCTAATTTTTAGCATAAATATGATCCACTTCAGTATACTCTCTAAATTTGAATCAGTTAAAAATAACTGATTTAGAAGAAAAAAGTCAGTCAATAATTCAAATAGTATAATTTCTACTGACAATTAGTTAAAATTAGGTAACTGATTGTCAGTTAAAAATAACTGATGTATCAGTAAATTTTTGTTTAACTGATTCAATTAGTCAAGTTTAACTAATTTTTAGTTATTTTTTTTACTGAAAATTAGTTATTTTTAACCGATTCAGAAGCAAAAAGTCAGTCACTGGATGTCAGTTAAAACCATGATTTTTAACTAATTCAAATTATGAGAGTAGGTATTAGCTACATATACTGATATTAATCAGTTTTTCAATTTTTTTAAAATTCAATTTCCATTCAATTTTAATTCCATTTCAATTCAATTTCAACTGCTCTTTTAAATTGAATCAGTTTAAAGTAACTGATTTAGAAGCAAAAAGTCAGTCACTGATTCAAATTGTAAAATTTCTACTAACAATTAGTTAAAAATAACTGATGTTTCAGTAACTTTTTTTGACTGATTTAATTAGTCAAGTTTTAACTACCCAGGCGAGAACTGACGCTGGATTCAGGCTTTACGGAACCTTCGTTGAGGCTTGGTCAACATTGATCAAGCCTTGGTGGGACGGCGGAACGAAGGTTGCTTCTAGCTATAATGTAACACTTATTTAAGACTGACGCTCCAGTCTTTGTTGTAGATTGGCGTTTAATGTTCAATCAATGCTGCGGAACCCTATAATGCAGGACTGAAATAAGGCTGCTTCCACTGTTCCCAAATTTACGCGTCTCTCGCGCTTATTCAATATAATATGAATATATATGAATTGTATATAATAATATTAATAATAATATTAATAATAATAATAATTATTATTATTATTATTATAATAGTAATGAATATTATTGATATTATTTTTATTCATGTTATATGCGTTTGTTTGGAAATAAGTTATTATTATAATAATTATATTATTTTCATATAAATAATATATTACTAACAATAAATTTCATTTGAAATAGTAATATTAAAAAAATAATTTTAGTAAAAGAAACCAATTTTTCTGTTAATCGGTACATTTTTTTCTCGATTTTTCAGCAGACTTTTTAATATTATTTACAAACATATTCACATTTTTTTATTCACAACACAACACACAATTTTATTATTATATATAACGCTTAAAACAAAGAATGAAAAATATTCGCTCGCATGTGGGATCGAACTCACGCACCCCGCCCCTAACGCATACCCGGAAGTCCTAAACGCACGCATTTAAACCGCTCGGCCACAGAAGGCTGGAAGGCACCTCGCCTAATCTACTATTTCAATGCCAGCGCCGTATATTCTGTATATACGGCGCGTCACTCAATATTTGTTCAGCATGGGACACCAATGTTCGTCCCATGCTCGATTCAAGACTCGGTCAATCTTGATACAATATTCACTTTCTTTATTACCGTGTGCACTGAACAATATTAAATATCAATATTTATAAATTATTTATTATTAAAATATTTTTTATGATAATTTTATAAGTTAAATTATATATATTATTGTTTTTCTTGTATACAGTGTCAAATTATTATTTTCAAAGTTTAAGAGTTTCGTTTATCTGAAAAATTATTAGTAAAAAAAATGTTCATTAGGTAGTGATAAATATATATGCTTAGTAATTTTACACTAGGACTACTATTTTACTAATACTACTAATTTTACTATTTAGTAAATATTATCAAAAAACTATTTTTTGTCAAACGCGCGCGACTAAACACAAATAACCTTGAAACTCCAGCATTACCAACTCAACACATACGTTAAACTCTTAAGTTGGCAATGCTAAAGTCTCAAGGTTATTTGTGTTTAATCGCACGCGTTTGACAAAAAATAGTTTTTTGATAATACATATTTACTAAACAGTTAATCCTAGTGTAAAACTACTAGGCATAAATATTTATTACACCCTAATGAACATTTTTTTAACACTAAAAATTTTTCAGACAAACGAAACTCTTGAACTTTGAAAACAATTATTTGACACTGCAAGAAAAAAATAATAATGTATAATTTAACTTTATTTATATAAATTTTATATAATTAATAATAATAATAATAATTATTATTATTATTATAAAAAAAAATAATATTTAATATTTATTTTTAATTTAATATTTTTTATAATAATAATAATAATAATTATTATTATTATTATTATTATTATTATTATTATTATTATTATTATTATTATTATTATTATTATTATTATTATTATTATTATTAATAAATTAATAATTAATATAAATATTATACACTAGATAAATATTAATATTTATTTACCAATTGATATCTTAATAATAATAATTAATAATAATTTTTAAATAGTATACAAAATTATCATAAAAAATATTTTAATATTAATTAATTTATAAATATTTATATTTAATATTTTTAAGTGCACACGTCAATAAATAAACTGTCAAGATTGATTTAGGCTTGAATTAAGATCAGATGTTCGAGCTTCACTCACAAAGATTGACCGAGTCTTGAATCGAGCATGGAACGAACAGTGGTGTCCAATGCTGAATCAACATTGAGTGACAGTGGTATAAAGACTGCTTCAACACTGGGTTACCCAGGCTGGGCGTTCAAGGCTCAATAAATCTTCAATCCATCGTCAGCATTGGTCTTTCGCGCCTGGGTAATTTTTCAGTTATTTTTTTCACTAAAAATCAGTTATTTTTAGCTGATTCAGAAGCAAAAAGTCAGTCACTGATTGTCGGTTAAAACCATTATTTTTAACTGATTCAAATTAATAATTATATACAACTCTTTAAAACTGAATTAGTTGATATTTGACTGATTTTCAGTCAAATTCTTTATTCTAACAATTTGAATCAGTGAAATTTCACTGAACATCAGTTAAAAATGATTGAAATTTCTGTTATTTTTCACTGATTGAACAATCAAGAAATAACAGTCAGTGAAAAATAACTGGCACTTCACTCATTTTTAACTGATTTTTAGTGAAATTCCACTGATTCGAATGGCAAGAATATTCACTAAAAATCAGTGATTTTCAATTAAATTTCAACTGATCTTCAATGGAATTTCACTGATTCAGATTTGAAGACTATATTTTATTATTAAAACTGTCTTCTTTTCTATAAAATATAAAATAAAGTATACTCATTAAATTTATGTAAATCAGTTAAAAATAACTGATTTAGAAGAAAAAAGTCAATCTCTAATTAAAATAGTAATATTTCTACTGATTATTTATTAAAAAATAACTGATTGACAGATAAAAGTATAATTGATGATTTAGTAGATTTTCTAACTGATTCAATTTTAATTTGAATCAGTTAAAAAACTTGATAATTATAAAGTAAATCTAATTTTTTAGTTATTTTTTACTTAAAATCAGTCATTTTTCACTGACAGTAAATTATTTCTAACTGATTTAGAAGCAAAAAATCAGTCACTATACACTCTAAATCTTCAGTTAAAAATCATGGTTTTAACTAAAAATCAAAGACTGACATCTCGCTTCTAAATCAGTTAAAAATAACTGAAAAAGTAGTTAAACTTGACTAATTGAATCAGTCGAAAAAAATTTACCAGAACATCAGTTGTTTTTAACTTAAAATCAGTTATTTTTAACTAATTGTTAGTAGAAATATTACTATTTGAATTATTGATTGATTTTTTGCTTTTAAATCAGTTATTTTTAACTGATTCAAATTTAGAGAGTAAATCAGTGAAAATTTCACTGGTTTCAATTCAGTGGCCCAGTTTTCTTCGATGAATCAGTGGAATTTAACTGACAATTAGTGGTTTTTACTGATTCTCAAGGAAATTCCACTGATGAATTACAGAAAACTGGACCACTCTGAATCTAAATCGGTGAAAATTACACTGATTTTAATTCAGTGGTCTAGGTTTTTTTAATTCATCAGTGGAATTTCTCTGAGAATCAGTATAATAGCCACTGATTGTTAGTTAAATTCCACTAATTTTTAAGAAAAAATGATAATTTCTAAACAAAACTTTCTAATTGTTTGTAAATAATTTAATAAAATATTTAGTAAATTTGACAAATTACTAAATGAATTTTACTAAATTTTACTAAATAAATTTATACTTGTGACCGCCATCACAAAGAAATGAGCCTAAGAAACAAAATCTTATAGGTTATGTTTGTTATCAT